TAATTAGTTATCATGACATGAACAAAATTTAATTTAGTGCCTTACATAAGAGAAAAAGAAGTGGGTCTCAATTATTTTCTTAAAAAATATTTTTTACGTTAAACTAATTCATTTAAGAAAATATATTTCTTTAAATATTAATTTTAAAGCTTAGATGGTAAACTTATTTTATAAAATAAATATTTATTTATTAGTAAGTTTAAATTTTATTTTATTTATTTTAAAGAAAACTTTAATCACTTAAACTGCCTTTTCACCGGAACCGGGAGATGGCAAAAATAAACCGGACTTAATTTAGTGCACTACATAAGAGAAAAGAAGATCAAAGATGGATATAATAACAAGAACAGAAATGTTAATGAACTGAAAAATATGGTATATGGATAGATGAAATCTAACAGACCTAGGACAAGTTTCTTCCTGGTTCTGTGTTTCTTATTCCAGTATCACTTTAATTACTTAATATATATACACAGGATTTTACAATCATTATTATGATGGTATATTGAAGAGGTGATCCAGAACAACTTTTATCTAAGTAGTAAGATATGAAAGTAGAGGAATACTACTCCACAAGTCAGAATTCACCGGCATAATGCGAACCTGTGTGTCGGGGAAGACTGGTGCTTCTGTCTCCGTTGGACGAACAAACTCACCATTCTTTTGGAATTTAATTGGGTATCGGAGTAAGTGACTGGGCAGATCTTGGTCAAATTTCTTATCGGCAAAGAGATCCCAGTTTCGATCTGCAATTTCATTCACTTGCTGCATACACCCTAGGCTCTGTGGATATTTGAAGGACTCCTTAAGCTCTCCAATGTGCTCGTACCACAATGACATTCTGCAATCATGAACCTTTCCCCTTGCTTCTCCCTCCCCATCAGCTATGTGGTAAGGCTGGTACGCCCCCATTGCAATTTCAGTGTCTCTCGCACCATGCATTGACCTCTGGTTAATGTTTGCCGATCCAACGATTATGTACTCATCATCAACTGAAATAAATAAATAAAAGAAACCGTGGGCGCGCATTGTTTAATTCATCATTCCTTTTAGTAATTTTTTTAGCAGGATTGGAGTAATGCTCATTACCTATCATCATCTTTGAGTGAACATAGATCATGAAGCGCCGGTTCCTCTGAGCTGTGCTATGGTGACTTCCAAAATCTGGTTTGCTCTTCGGGCGGAAATCGGAATCCAGCTCGACTTCTCGGTTGCCAAGACAAAAGAAAGAGAGGTAATCTCGAGGGTCCGCCTGCATTCTTGTTTCTCGGATTGCTCCAGCGATGTCGTCATACATCATTTCCATCGTCCTCCATTGCCATTCGAGCGTACGCTGACTCACGAAACTATCGGCTGAATCTCCTGGCCACATTGGAATCAAAACGTACACAGAGAACCTCTCGTTTGCTTTAATCTTACTCACTATCTTTAGCGAGATCTCCTTCGGTATTATATGCAAGGATTTTACTTCGGCTTTCACCGCCGTTTTTGCCTTCGGAAGGGGTTCTTTCCAAGCAAAGGAGCTTCCAAGAAAAAACAGATTTTCAATGTAAATAAAATTCTTTGCTCGGCGGATTGCATTAACGTATGCATCCTGAATTCCCTGTTCGATGATGACACCTTTCTTGCTAACAAGCCCTCTTGAAACCATCTCAGACAGATCTTTAGGATACCCTGAAGCAACACAATCGTCCATAGATCGAAACACTTGAACATTCCAAGACTCCAGGTCTGGATGTGTCGGGGAAGACATAACCGTTGATGTATCCCTAATTAGGTCGGGATTCTTTGGCAACGACCAATTAATGTCACGAACTTCAAACGTCCACCTTTGCTCAAAAGTGTCCATGACATCCCAAGCAGCTGGTCCTTCAATCTTACAGTGTATGTCGTGCCATGGTAGCCTTGGACCACCTTTTTCCCATGATGCTCCTTTCAAGCAAGTCTGATGGAAATCATCTTTGTGGACTGTATGTAGAGTCCGAAAGAGGGAATGCTTTGGTGTATCATATCTACCAGTGTCAAGATCCAGACCGCCAATATAACTCACAATCGTCCTTTTCTTTGTCTCTCCATCGGGCACTTCACTGTCAACCACCACAAACTTTTGATGATGCGAGTAAGGTATCTTAGAAGAATTTGTAATCATCGGCTTGTCAGCAACAGAGCGTGAAGAAAGATGGCACTTCACCGCAGTTCCTTTGAAAAAATTTTCGGTTTCGTTTGCATTGGTTTTACATATTATGTCAGCAAATAGATTTTTCCAAATCAGCATGCGAACTCCAACACCTTCTTTAGCCTTTTTCTTGAGCAGCTCTCCAATGGTTGGAATCTCATTGGGGTTTACCCCTTCTCTAACCAATCTGACTTTGTGATTGAAAGACCAACCGGCTATGTAGATCAATTGTTTAGCCTTACTGATAGACTCATACATGTCCTCCCAACATCTGTTTGTCTCGAAGTTCTGCTCCTCGCCAAAACTCGGAACAAGTTGCAGGTTGAAATCACTGAGGACATGAGCATCTTGGTACAAAGTAACCCTGCATCTTTCCCTTGCCGGGTAGAAGGAGTAAGGAACTGCTGTGAATTTTGGACTTCCAATTTTGGGAAACCATTGAGACTCCTGAAGAGCACTAACGAAAAGAATTTTGACATGAAGATAAGACTTCTCTTCTATCTGATTACGCCCCTCATCCTCTATCTTGATCTGTTTCTCCATCGCTTGTAGATTGGTCATGAGTTCAGCAACGGGCAAATAAGCTTTACCAATTGTTTTGACTTTAACCTTGTCCAGTGCACTGGAGATTTTCAGTTCGTCCCAAATATTATTTTCTTTGATGGTGAATGCAATACGTGACACAGAATGCGCACAATTAATGCGAAAAATTTCGTTCCAAGTGAGGTCGGTGGAATCTGCTACGCATTTGGTCCGCGCCACCGTCGCGTTTCCGAGATCGATTGTTGCGTAGAGACCTTCTTGATACAGAGAGTCTTCCTCTCCACTCACCTCACTTTTTCCTTTGATCAGCAAATCAAAATCTTCTTTCACCTCATAAACCGCGCGAACTGCCCGATGTATTTTTCTAGAACACCATTTCAGAAGCTGACAAACAAAATTAAAGTTGGATAATTAATTTTTATGCATAAAAATCCAATACTAAAATAAAATGATGGTGTGACTCTTTTTTTCACTCTTTCGTACTAGAAGTTTTTTTTTTCCCTTTTTATTTTTTTAAAGAATTTAGTTAAATTAATATTTATTAACTTAAAATTTTTTAAAGATTTAAATTCCTATCATGTCGAATAGTTATCCTTTGATATATAAAAAAGTATATGTATATAAGGTTTTTTTTTTATATATTTATTTCACATTCATATTAAAGATTTGGGAAAATTTTATATTTTTACTTGTATTACACTTATTAGAAAAAAAATAAAGAGAAACTTTTTTTATGGTAGGATAAAAAATTAAATTTTAGAGATAATGATAAGGTTAAAGAATAATAATTGATAGTACAGTGATAGAGTTATATTTTGATTTAACATATTATATAATATATTTATTAAGAAATTATTATTTTTTGGTTTGATATGAAATTAAAAGCAAATAAATTTAAAGATGCAGCAATACAAGATGTAAAAACCAGTTAAATTAGTTGTACTTAATTTATATTTTAATAATTAAACTAGATTAAGTATAAAAAAAGTGTGTTAAACTGAGTGTATATCAATCATTTTTTTAAAATTAAAATAGAAGAAATATTTACCTCTCCTAAAATATGAAAAACAACTTCTTATTCTAAAATAAGATTTAAATAAAAAATATCTACTTTCTCCATTTGAATTAGCAAGTATAGTTTTTTTTTATCCAATAAAATATGGATATAAGAGTTAATTGATATAATTAAAATATTATATTTATTTTTAATTAATTTAACGGTAATGTTATAATTACAATATCATGTAGGATTATAACATTACAATCCTATATAGCATTAAATGAAATATGACATGATATTAAACAAGTGAATCTATACAATATCATGAGTGGATTCAAAATGAAAAGAAGTAATTATTTAATGACATATCATGTTGTAAACTTATAATGTTATATGGCATTGTAATTGCAGCATTTTCATTAATTTGGATAAGCCTTTCTAGTTATTTAGTAGATGTTGTAATATTTTTTTAAAGTTAAGGATAAAATAGGAATAATTGCATTAAAGAAAGACAATTAAAACTCTATTTAGTATAGTTTTGGTTTT